AGGCTCTTCTTGCCACCGCCCCCAACTACCACCGCGCCGACAGACAGACAGAGGAAGGGAGGCGGGGGGGGGGGTGGTGTCGCGGGGGGGGGGGGGGGGGCGGGGGGGGGGGGGCTTAAATCGATGTTACCATGAACTCTCGAGAGTATCGGGCGTTTAGTAACGGAAAGCGCTGATATTGCCAATTCTACTTTGCAACGTTTCAATTTACTACAAGAATTACTCGCTGAAATCATTGAGTTGAGTGAAAACACGCAAGGAGCTAACGAAGCCACAATTTATGACATGGAAGCTAAGAAACATTAATTGATTCTTGATCAAGAACGTCTTTAGAACAATCTCAATACTATTCAGCATCAATGAAATGCATTGAAAACAGCTTTAGAAAATGTCAGGAAAAAGTATGCTGTAGTCATGCAGCTTGTTACAGATTCATCAATACCTACAATCATTGGTGGCCAATCAAATCCTCTCACTGATATCCTTACGCTCCCCATCGGTGTTGTATTTGATCCAGTTGGCATCATCGGCTGTATTTTGGGTGGTTGCAAAAACCCGAAGCCAGTTATAGATAATAACAAATTTGAGAATACCATAAAAATCGCCGAACAAGCTCAACAAGATCTAGAAAAAGTAGAACAACTTCACAATGCACATTTATTGGTCGATCCGATTGATCGAGAATTCTTCACTGAAATGTTGATACCGGCCGCAACAACGATTGAAAGTGGCGCTCATTTGTTATTCACTATGGCTAAAGCTTATACTACGCAGTTTCTAGTGAACATATGATTGATCAAATAGCAGGCATTAGTCAATTGTTAACTTTACAAACAGATGAAGCACGAAAAGCTCATCTCCAACAAGCATCCAACAAGACAATCGCAGCATTATTGAAGATTACACAAATGGCACAAGAACGGCATAGTATCTATCTTGGAAAGACACGTAATCGACAGGCAGAATATACTGCTTATATGGCTAGTTTAGTCGCTTCTGGACTATCACAAACAGTAGGTTGAATCGTGAGTGATATTGTGTAATAAAGCTAAAAAAATGCTTCTTTCGATAATTTTCAATTCAATATAATCAAACATAACTGTGTACTTTCGAGAAGACATTTGTTATCTACGCAGACAATAATTATAGTCATCGCCTCTTCGAAACCATTACAAATGAGAACGATCTTTGACAATTGTGCCGTATAAAACACATTTCAAATCAAAATATCTTTCTTTTCAATCGAACGAACTCATCAAACCAAATCTTGTATGAAGAGGTTGGTGTGACAGTGAATGTGAGTGTGAGCGAAGAGAAGAACCACATCAGGCCTTGATATCGGACACCATTTTGATAGCTCAAGTCGGCCCAACTTAGAATGACACTATTAAATGTATATCTCTTTTACATAAACGATTTCTAAACGATGAAAACACACAATAACTGCAGTTATTCATTAGAACATTGTACAAGGTGTACAAACACTGCACTCATGGTTTGAATAAGATTCAATAAGCGTGTGAGTGTGAATGTGATTGAAGACAAGACTCATACCTACGTCCACGCCCCTCGAACGTCAAAAGTATAAAATCCAATGGCGATATCACTGATAAGAAGAGGCATAAATTCGCGTGCTCTCATAGCTCAGCTGGTTAGAGCATCGTACTAATAACGCCTAGGTACCAGGTTCGATCCCTGGTGAAAGCATTCCAAGTTTGATTTTTCTTGTTCTTCTTTTAAAACGTTTTAGTGTGTAACTCAGCAACAAAGCATCGTCTGTATAGCAGTGCATGAAGAACATAAAGCACGTGGTTGAATAAAGTAAATTTTGCAATTACTCGTTAAATATTGTTTCTGTTGAAAAGAGGATGTAAGGATGTAGGTGGATGTGGCTAATGGTGTTGTTTTCATTGGACGCAGTGGTCCGACACTCAACACTCAAACCCACACTCACACCCATCTCTTGACGACTCTCTCGATTTTAAAATTTTAATTCTTTTGTGTGAACATTTTCGTTGACTATGAATTTTTTACCGTTTAGTATCTAGCGATATAGGTCGACAGGCTGAGTCATCGCCTCCACCGATGATTACAAAATTTTTAAGGTATCTCAGACGCCAATGCCACGGCATAAAAATGAGATAGTAGATTTTTAAAAACTTTCGACATTTATAATCAGCGGTCACGTATGCTCCTTGTCTAGCTTTTTAGTATCACGCTTTGCACCATCGTTTTCTTCGTTTTTTCTTTTAAAATTTTATGAAACTAACGTAAGAAAATGTTTCAAAAATATTGAAAACTGTCAACCGTCGTCATCGATTAATGTATCAGTTTCCACTTCCAATCGTATCGATTAGAATATCTAGAATTCCTGTTGGTATTCACAAACATCTACGTTATTAGCAAACACAATATATTAATGATAGCTCTTTTTATATTCGGAAAGTGTCGCAAATATAGATTTCATAAAGTTTTTGTTTGTTGACATAGAGAAACAAGTACAGTAAAAAGATTTGATGAACTATAAAGAAGTCCGCTCGAATCAAAACTTGTCAGATGTTACCTCATTTATTGTATCATATAAAACACTTGCGATATTGAATGTAAACTTTCTCGATGTACTTTTAAATTGTCTTAATTATGTTCTTCATTTTCTTATCCATCGGAGATAAGTAAATCGTGGGGTGTGAGTGTGACTAAATAGAAGACTCATACTCTCTATCACGTTAGTCTAGGACTAAACGAATCAAATCTTGATGAACATTACTTATTTATAATAGGTGAAAATTTTTTCTATGATAAAATTTAATAAGAATTGACTAAATTAAGCAAGAAAATACAAAACAGCATAAATAACTGTAAAAAGAGTTTCTGTCGCTAGGATTTGTACTATTCATTGACAATAGTATTTTCAAAACATTGGAAGAGTCTGATATGAATATCTAAAATTGTTTGACAGAGTTTCTTCGATAAATCAATTGACAGAAATGTATCTCCATTCGAGAGAAGAATTACACCAATACTTTTTGTCTTATCAACGAGCATCAAATGTGTCATGCCTGGCAAGCCACCACCATGTCCAACATATCGATGACCATTATTCAATGTTTGCCAATGCCAACCAAGTCCAAACTTAAGTGATTGACGTATTCCCGTAGAATTACTATTGAAGTCATCAATATAATAAGGGAGGAGATCTCCACCCACTATTGTTTGCATTTCAGCAACGCTTCTAGAAGTTAATAATGAAGATCCATTATTAATAAACATACGCAGGAACACAGATAGAGAACGAGCTGACATGCAAAGGAGATCAGATGGATAAGTATTAAAACTAAAGAATGGAATGTGCAACCATGTTGGAAGATTTTCCTAAAAAAATGTTTATTGAATTAAATCACTGCTACACATAGAGGTATAAGCCATCCAGCTGCGCCGCCATCGTCGCTAATTTTTTTGCAAAACTAGCCGCCACCGCCACGCAATTGGAGATAGTTTTGCGATTTTTTTAGCCGCCGCTGCCACTAACATTTTTAGGAGCAAAAACGTTTTTTTTTTTGTTTTTTTGGTTGCCAAAGTCGTCGCGGGTGCAGAAAAACATAAAGTATAGTAGCCGTCGCCGCCGGTGTAGAAAAGCATAGAGTCTAGTAGGCGCCGCCGCCATAGAAAAAAAATTGGACCATTAAAATAGCCGCCGCCGTTTGACCCTTCGGCTTACACCTCTAGCTACACAATAAGAATATTGATAGATTACTGAAACTGGCGTAATATTCATTTGTGGCATTATTTGATTCCATGCTGGAAGAAAAGACTCATTGAATGCATAGGTGTAATGCTTAACAAGTTCTTCTCTGTTTTCAAAATCACTTAGACGATAGCCTGTTTTGCGAATATCAATGTTCAATGGTTTCAATATATTTCTTTTGACATATTGATCATAAGGCATTTTTGTCACACGTTCAACTACTAGTGCAGCTAGGGATGAACCTTCATTGGAATAAAATACTACACTGTCTGGTGGTTTTGGCAACCAGTTCGATGTATTCGGTTTCAAATATGTAAAGCTCGTATCAGCCAAAGTTGTTTGAGTAAATGCAATATCATCCAGTTGTAAGTAAGTATCTGCTGAAAGATTTTGAACAGCGATGGAAGCTGAATGAGAAAGTAGTTTTCGTAGTGATCGAATGAAAAGGATATTGTGTATGGAAAATTCTTTTATAGGGTTCTGACAAATACTCGTTGACGTCTGTATCAAGATCAACAAGTTCTCTTTCGACTAGTTGCATAACAGCAATACCAATAAATGTCTTTGAAATAGAGACGAGAATACAAATTGACTTATCTAGGTTCATGGCCACTATTGGCGAAAGAGATTGATAACCAAAAGCTTGTTCGTAGAGTATATCACTGGCATTGACAACGATAATTGCCGCACCTGGAATGTGAACCATATTGAGAGAATGCTCAATAAATTGTCGATTTGGACAACTTGAATCAGTGCTGTCAGCAGCATTACAGACGAGAACAAGGATAAACAACAATAAGAACATCATATTTGATTCTGTTTGACAAAGGAAATAATCCTTTTTATCCTAGTATGAGATTAGGCTGTCATTAAATAGTGTAAAATGTCGTAGGCTTATGAATCATGAATAGAAAAATAACAATAAGAATGAAACCATGTTGTTATCTTCATCTTCCTTTTCTTTATTTTAAAGGAAGAAAAATTTGTCACAGAAAAAGATCTCAGCTCAATTGGGTGTAAAGTATGGATGTGAATGAACAGACCATTCGCACTCGCACTCATATCCTGAGAGCGATCACTTGTACTGTTAATCAAAAAATATGAAAAAAGCATTTTTTGTTTCGTATATCATGTTTTTCTTTTATCATACACATCCGATAACATCACATCAATCAGTACATCAATTCATATGAATAAACATATGGAGAATAGATACAAATTGTTTGCTTATCCTTGAGGAAAAAAACGATGCTGTTAGAAAAGGACGAGTTTTTGTATTTTTTTTACTCAAAAAATGCACGAGATCCATCTCATGTATAGAAACACAGAAGCACACTCGATCTTTCCTACAAATATGATTTAACGATCAAGTCTTTTAGACAAAGAATTGCATGTAGGCGCGCAGCGAAATGAAAGCATCATGAGTTTTGTTGTTTCTTAGTGTGGTAGGACATAAAAGAAAACTCGTAAAATATTGAGAAGAGTCTCAGTAGTCTATACCATGTGGTTAGTTGTCTCTATTGTGGTATACTTCATATTATGATTAACGGTGCAACATAGCGTGATTGCCGCAAGAGTACAGCACCTGCACTAAAGCATCTATCGATTGAATGACTCCGTGAATTCATTATTAAACCTTTAAATGCAGACATGGCTTGTTATTTTGCTATGATTATTTCGATACCATTCATACTACAGCGTAGTTAATCAACAGGTTCCAAATTGCTATAAAATGCATAATATTCTCCGACAGGTAGCGATTTACTGGAAGTCTAGTGAGATCTACAGTGAAAGGATACTTCACAAAACGATATTATGTTGAAACAGGCGCCTTACTTCAATTTGCGCTAACGACAGTTCCAGAAATCTGTTGACGACTATTTTCTTCTGATGATTTTATCTTGTGCAATGGGTGTGGGCGTGAAGTGTGAGACTTTTATTCACTAACATTCACACTCACACCGTTACTAATGAAAACGATTTCTTTAGTATGAATAAACATGTTTTTTTNCAATCTGGGTGCGAGTGGTGCCGCTGACCTACATTCCTGGTTGAGCATGTGCACACAAATTATCAGACCTCTAGCTCTTATGGTGACTGAGAACCGAGGGAGGAAAGACTTTTGTCCAGGGGTGTAAGTAAGATTGCATCAAAGTCATAACAATTCAACCAGGGTGGTGAGGGTGGGTGGGTGAGAGTGTGTGAGTTATTTTAAGAGTATTCCAACCTATTTACGACGATCGTTTCGAATGGGGCTTAATCCATTCATCATCAGATAAATTTGGAATATATTAATCTGCATTAGAATATTATCTGAAATCGATTTTAAATTGCCATAAAAGTCAAAAACTCTCAATAAAATTCAGAACGTAGAGATAAGTTCTAAAAGAAAAATCGCAGATAATTGTTTCAAAGGGTGAGTTTATTTTGGGAAGAGAGGATAGAATTTATCTTACGAAGCGTTTGACGGAAGGACGCATGTGGGTGTGGGTGGGTGTGGGGGGGGATGTCTTCTTTTAAACCCTCACCCTCACCCACTCTCACACTCCACACCCATGCACACCCACGCTCATACCCTCACACTACAAACCCGCATTCACACGCACACCCACCCACACCCGCATCCACACCCACACCCGAAATAAGCGTAATGCAATGAACGAGGTTGAATATATTTTAATTCATTTCTTTTATCGAAGCTTTTCAACTTGAGAGAAGTAGAAAGATAGCCCTTATTAAGATGAAAACAGAAAGAAAGAAAGAAAAAGAAAAGATGACAGAAATAACAGAATGGCATTACTATTGGCTCATTGTCATGGTACTTTTTTTGTTGATCTCTCCGGCTCGTTATGTTTGCATTTTCAAAAGAAACCAAACAAAAAAATACAATCAACGTTACATACAATTTTCTGAGATTCCAGAATTTCACCAATGAGACTTTCGCCAATATACTCTGGCGACTTTCGCCAATTGGCGAGAGTCTGATGTGCATTCAACAGTGTAACATGTAGATTAATAGACAGCACCGAGATATACACTGATACCCATCCTCCTCGTTCATATCCAACATTTATATTCTTCCGTGGCAAATAGTAAAAGTTCCTCAAACTTGTTTCAATTACTGGGAGTCCACTATACTTTCGCCAATACACGTCTAGGATATTTGTAAATTCACGAGAATCCACTGTGCTTTCACCAATATAACCCGGTGACTTTCGCCAATTGGCGAATGTCCAGTTGGCGAAATTTGGGTAAACCAATTTTCGTCACGAAATAAATTTCTATATTTGCACAAATAATTCAAGCATGCACTTCAATGATGATGTTTTCTTTTCTACTTTTCAAATTGACAAAACAAAATCGTAGTTTTAGTCTTCGTATCGAATCTGTTTTAGAAGAAACGATACATCAACGCTATCTTTCGTTATTTATTAGCTATACGCACATATATACAATTCCCTTTCGCAAACCAACAATGCTCATTGCTATCAATTAGAATATTGTTTCGAATATGTATCCCATTGACATATATTTCTTATAAATAAAGTTGATGATAACAGTAGTTACGCTGCAAGAATCTTTTTCTTTGTTATTGTGATTTACTGCTAAGTTCAGTGAACTTTGAATATCAGTGAACGAAATTGTAATGTGCTTTCTTCACGAATTGAGGAAGTTAAAGAAAGAGTGTCAATTAGAATTAAAAAGATAATTTCTTTTATTTTACCCTTATTTCGAATGAATCTTTACGATGAAATTGCTCGCACCGAAGAGAAAAATATGAAATTAACTGTGTTATATGTCTCAATCGAGTTTTGAATATGAATGAATACTTTAAATTGGCATATTTGCAAAGAAAAAGAAGCCAAACCATAATTTGGCGAGTAATAGAGTAGAACCATATTTAATCAAGAAAAGTTTACATGAGTTTCTAAACAAAAATTTTGAATGACAATTGAAATTAAGTTTTGCCTTGTTTGTTGTATCCTTACGAGCGAAGCATACCAGAGAGTATCAAATAGGATAGTAGCAGTAGCTTTTTTTTTATTGCAATTACCTACTAATAATATGCGCTATATATAACAAGAAGAGAAACCATTGGTTCGTTATTGCTTCAATCAAAATTGTATCGATTCTGTGCTCCGTTCACATTAAAAGAACGTCTATGAAATTCATAGCAAAATAAAAATCAAACTGAGAACATCTTTGTTCTGTTTCGTTTTTAACAACAGGAGAGAAAGTCATTTCGAAAGAATCAAAGAAAAATATTCAGTCTATTGACATTCAGATGCAAATCTAGATGAAGAGTAAAGAGAAGCCTTAAAGAATCATGATCTCACATTTGACGTTGTTGAAAATTTGTTGACTTTGGGCTTATTATTAACAACCATATTTTCGATTGCAACTACAGTCTACGACAAAAATTTAAGAAAAAACGATTTTTCAGTAGTTTTTCTCAAATTTTTCTGTAGTTTTTTTTCATATTAGTAGGTATAAGTTTGATTCAAATGATTATACAGATAATATGAGAGCTTAGCTACATCATCTATTAAAGAACGACATTCTATCTCTTTATATAGATTTTTTATAATTAAAATAATTTCGTTCTATGCAAAAGTAGATTTCGGCGTCTTTCAGTATTTTGCATTTCCTAATCAAGAGACTTGTGCTAAAATAAAACCGAATGATATCAATCGATAGAGCATCTCACGTTCTACCAGTTTAATAAAATGATTTTTTCCTAGGATCGATCTTCACTTTTAGAACTTGGCTTTAATGAGAATAACCGAAAAATACGCAAAAATGAAATTCTTNAGGATAATAGACTGATGAAAGTCTTTGCTCAGTTCTAGTAGCGATCAAAGTGGTGCTCGTCGAAAAAGACAATAGACTCTTTTCTTCTTCCCTTTTCATTTTTATTTTCCTTTCTACTTTTTTGTATCTTGTTTCTCACCCTACACCGGTAACGGTAAGGGTCTACAAATAATAATAATAATAATAAAAAAAAAAAAAAAATTAAATGTATTCACGAAATCAGAAACATCAATCGGGCTGATTTGGCTTGCTTGTAGCTCTTGCCTAGAAGTGTGTCTGCGAAACTTTTACTGTCTCTAAATCTTAAAAAGATTTTTTATTTCAAAAGTGATGAATAAATTTTATATCCATAAAAATGAGCTAAATGTTTTACATACGTAGTTAAATGAGAGAACACAGTATGAGAAAGAATTAAAAAACAATGTTAGAATATTGAACATGTGTATGTGTGACGTCATTGTAACAAAAGCCATGAATCATTTCGAGAAAGTACTATATAATTTGATTCAAAATTCAGATACTAATAAAATATTTGCTTGCAGCTTTTTTATTTACAGATGAGCGCAATATAATCTTATTTTGAAGGTATTTCATCTACTGATACTTTTACAATACTTTCTATTGATTTAAAGGTTTTGACGGAGGCACTGTCTGCTAATATTTATGAATAATCATCCACACACCTAAAACCCCAAAATTCGAAGACAATTCTAAAGCGGAAAAATCCACAAATCTTATATAGGTCGAAAAGACTATAAATCGATATTAGCACTCCAAAAAATAACACAACAGTTATCTGTAAGTTTGAGTGATATTTCTGTCACGACCAGTAATTATAGAAAGGGAGACAAGTTCACTTTTCTGATCATAGAGTTTCAATATTCATTAACAATCATGATTCATAAAATTCCAATAGAGAAAAATTTTTGTTTTTGAAACACGATTTATAATGAGTCTTGAACAGTCTATAGAGAAATCGAAATTCCAATGGACGTATTATTTTGACTTTTTCTAAAGGTCTGACGGAGAATTGAATTCCGAAAAAGAAACATTCAGCGTACATGTGCCGCTGATTGGATAAATATTTGTTCTCTAATTATGATGAAGTTAAAACAGTATTGCATGAACTTTTCGAACATAATATTCTCTCAAAGGCAATGCCTTTGTACCTGCTGATACACATAAAAAAACTCATTTTATTGGCAGCGTGCTTCGTTGTAGGCTGAACAACTATATTCAAAGATGGGTTAGTTGTGATGAACATGTACAACAACAAAAGTTTTATTTTAATTACCTATATAATTTTCTCTTCAAAGCAAAAATTGCACAATATTAACTGCTATGAACTATACCCTCTTACAATTGATTGACAACCAGGACTTAGGATCTAGTTTTTTATAACCTTATTCCATATATGAATAAATCGTAATGGCAAAGTCGGATAAATTTTTTTCTGGATATCTTAAAATTTCTTATAAGATTTATTTCATATTCTTTTGATAAATTCGATGTTTATTACATAAAAATTCAATAATATAAAATTCGATTTCTTTTTCTTGTAATTGATTAATTGTTGTCCATTGTTTTTCTATTCGTTCAAATATTCGAACTTGATTTGTACGTGTTTTTAACATATTTCCAATAATTATATCTTGATTATATTTATCTGCTGATTGTAAACATTTTTCTTCAAGTATTTTTTCATCTGTTTCTAATTTAAATGAAACAACAAAAGAATCTGGTACATATTCTCCTTTAATAGAACCTAATAATTTTGGTACAGGTTTCAATTGAATAATTAATTCATTTTGACCTGATGGAATTTTATGTTCTGTTAATTCATCATTTGGTATATAATAATCGGAAACAGCAGCACATGCATATATTAATACTGATCGACCAAATGGTTTCAATAAACAACAAAGTTGTTTAAGACCATTCAAATAATCTATTACTGTTTGAAAAGGAATTAAAAGAAGTGAATTTTTATGTTTATGATATTGATCAAGATAATAATTTGTATTTGTTTGTGATTCATCAAATATATTCTGAATATGACGTTGATAAGGTAATGTTGAAGATAAACGATAAAAGAAAAGTACAATATAATTTTGTTCAAGAAAATATTCAACAGAAGCAGCACCACGTCGACCAGTACTAAAATTATCAATAAAACGAACTGTATTTTTTTCTAATGGTACTGTAGTACCACCTGATGTTACTAAAACAATTGAATGATCACCACCCTGTATAAATACAATATAATAAATATTTTTTATATTTTATTAATCATACACTAACTGGTTGATATTTGTTAAGAAATAATTGCACACGTTCGAGATCAATGTTTATTGAAGTCATGATTTATTGAATTTAAATCTAAAAGTTTTTAATATTAAAATTTAAATGTAAATTTTATTTATCTTAATTTAATTACTTATCATAAAACTCAGTAAAGATTTCTTTTGACTAATATTAGTTTTTCAATTTCATTTCTAATTACAATCATTTTTATAATGTTTAAAGAATAATAAAATTTAATCTATACATTTTCCATCATATTAATCTTAGTTATATTTCGATGCAAGACATTCAAGTCTAGTTCTTATTTATTTGGTATATGTGTAAAGAACAAAAAAAAAACCAGCAAGAAAAGATAGCACATTCAAACATAATATACAAAGAAAAACTAGAATATAGAAAAAAAAAAAAAACAAATTACATAATTGCTACTAAAACAACATCAAAAAAATACTTCTTTTATTATTGTTTCATTATCATAGCGCTGTACATGATTATCTATATGCATATATATATTCATGACAAGTACTTATAATTTCCTGAGATTAAAACGGAATTTATAAAAAAAAACAAACAAACAAACTAAGAGATTCATTATTAAATATCAGTTTCAAGTGGTGGTGGTGGTGGTTCATATTTTGTACTACTTCGACTACTTGCTTGTGAATATGAATCAGCTTGTATACCAATAGCATATGTTTTTTTATTATTATTTGGTGTAAGTAATTGTAATTGATCAGAACGATAACGACGTGATTGATGTGCTGGTGATACATATGCTGGTGGTGGAGAAACTGAACCTGTTGATACACTTGTTGTAGAATCTTGTTGTAAATTATGTTGATTAATATTACGTAATGAACGTCGATGTGTAACTGGTGGTGCTGATGGTGGCATTGTTGGTGTTTGTATACGTTCAAATCTTCGACGACTTCGATATAATGTTGCTGAATCTGTTGTAGCTGTTGAATAAACACTTGATTGATCTGTATGTGTTGTAAGAACAAGTGCACGTTGTGAACCATTATCATCACTAAATGCTGGTGTTGATGCTTTTGGTATATTATGATTTAATTTTAATATTGAAAAATCATGATGAACTGGTGATGATGTTGATATATCATTATCAGAATTTATTGTTACACTACTTAATGGACGACTTGATAATGATAATGATGATAATGGTAATTTATTTGTTGTACCATTTGTTAATGTTGATAATGTTGAACTTTTTATAAGTGTATTATCATTACTTTTTTGTAATGATAATGTTGATTGTTTATTTATTTCTTGTTTAACACTACGACGAAGAGAATTTTGTCGATGAAAATTATCTTTACGTCGTTGACGAGATTTACATAACCAACAACAAAGAAATAACATTATTAATATAATCATTAAGATTATACCAGCTATGGCAAGAAGTAAATCATTACGAATAATTAATTTAAAACCATCAAATTGTTGTTCTAAAATATAATTATTTTATAAGCATATATCGATGAATAATTTATATGTAAGAGGATTTTTTTTTTGTTAGTCGAACAGATCGAAATGAATTTCGTTCATTTACGCTTAAGTGAGGGATGCAACTACAGTGTTTCAGCGAATGTATCTATATAGTCTATTAGTTTTTCTTTACTATTAGCAATCATAGATGTTTATAAATACTGGACATCTACTACAACGGTCTTAAAAGAGACAAGACTACTGTAATACTGCTACGATAATTTTCAAGAAATTCATCTGTCACTGTGATAAATTAATGCAGTTAAATTGAATCTATCAGATTTACCAAGATTCTGACTGTTGAATTTGTATATACTTAAACCCATTGCAAATTTATACAATTTTTAATAAACTGTAAATGTATTCTTCTAAAAATATTTAACTTTTGAATTTCAGGATATTTTTCTGTTCAATAGACTTAATTATAAAGGAAATTTCTAGTCGAAATTCATTTAATTTATTTTTGCTGTGGCCCAATACTAACAAAGAAAAATTTACAATTGTGAACATAATTTGGCATATAAATTCTTTTAGAATTTTTACTAGAATTTTTGTCAGGGAATTATCCTAGCTGATATCCATCGTTTGAGCTCATATTCAGAACATTTCACTAAATTTTTGATCTCTTATAATATCCGGGAAGTTTCAGCCACAAAGAATATTGTTTTATCGCGATATTGACTTTCTAAGTTAGTAAAACAGTCAAAACTTGGCTTCAGACATCGATAAGCATAAAACTTTCACACTTTTTTCTAGTTTTACCAAGACTTTCGCGTAATTTCGCCATGCTATTTAGAAACAAAGCACTTTATTATGACTTAGCTGCTGCAATCTCTAATCCGAAACTCACAGTGTACGCCTTGAACATCTTACTAGTCAAACACATTATCCTTACATCAGAAATTCGCATCATTCTAATAATCAGAGTCAAGTTTGCTTGAAAATGTTTCATTACCTTTTTCACAAATGAATGCAGCTGTTGCACTACAACTAATATCGATTGTTTCCATATCATTAAATATTCGACAAAATTCATTATTATCTTTTTTTAACCAAATACCTGATGATGGTACAGCATCACTATTAATACCTTGATATTGTGATGTTCGTACTAATGAACGAAGAATAACAAGACGATTAAGTGGTGTATCACGTCGTGTTATTCGAGCATCAATACTTGAACACATTTCTTGTGCAATACGATATGTTGTTATAGCACCAAAATATATATAACATAATGTATCATCAAGTGTCCAACCTGGATCACATTTACCTTGTCGAAGACGAGTAGAATCAAGATATGGTGGATAATAATTAACTTCTATTAATGTTTTATTATCAAATTTATCATAAATTCTTGCACCAATATCATCAACATCACCTATACGTCCCCAAAAATTTAATGAAGCATTTACTGATCGAGATTCCATTCGATTCGGTTCACTATAAAAAAATAAAATAAAAACAACATAAATTTTATATTATCAATATAAACAATTTCTTTTTCGTACAAATAACGTGATCGTGTTCGTATTTCATATCGACTTTCCCAATTATCAAATGTATTAAACATATATATTTGTCTTGGATTACCAATTTCAATGACAGCACCCGTTCTTAACATAAGAAAAGAAAAAATTTAATTAAATATAAAATAATAAAACAAAAAAAAGCAAACCGATCAAATAATTGTTGATTAAGTTGACCAATAGCTCGATTATTTCGAAATGAATTCATTTCCATAGCTGGAAATGGTGCAGTTATTTTTTCAAAACCAATCATTGATACAATATCAACACCAGTATTATTATATACTTGATTACGGCTAAAACAAAAAGAAAAATACTTTTTCAAACAATCGAACTCGAACATTAGAAAAAAAAGATGCTTTAGGTCGTTACTATCATCGTTAATCTGTCATATATATTATGTGATCAATGATGTTCTGTATAAAATTTTTCTTCTTTAATTAAATCTTCAAAATTATTTAGAATCTGATCAATGACAATGATTAAAGACTCGTTATTCGAGATATAAAATAAACTCGAATATTTAATGACCACCCGTTCAGGTAAGCCTTTACCATCAGTGATAATTTGAGCATGAGATGAAAATGTCTTCTAGTTATTGAAAAAACTTCACCTTCTTTGCTTGAATCTTCACAGCTAGCTTCTCTGTTCTAGCCGCTTCAAGGCTAGAGAGATGTACAGGACTAACGAGGGAAGGTCCCCAACTGATCAATCGTTTTTGTGTTGAGGCTATGTGCATTATGTAGATACAAAAGAGTTATGAATACCCTTAAAAAAGTTCGGGCTGCTAGCTTATTGCTACAGAGATACTGCACTTTTACGGTATGTTTATAAATGAAAGCTGTGGTCC